TCAAATTTTGACAAACAAATCTTTGTAAAAAACTCATTTGCCTGTCCCAACATATCTCTGGTTGCGATATGCTGACCTTGACCGGTTGACCTGACATATCTCGTTTCAGCATCGGAACCTTTTTTCAAAGTAGATGGATCTTACTGTATTTAAAAAATAGTTATACTCTTGACATATTTTGATGTGGTACAGTAGAACCTCGAAAACTTGGCCTAATGTGGACCAAAGGGTGGCCAAGTTTGTGAAAATGCCGGGTTATCGGGAATGGGGTTAAAAAAAATAAGTACAAGTGTATCCTCAGAAAATACTGTACTGTACTTGTATGTATTGTTTACTTGAGAATATAACAGAGAATAAACTGCCCAAATACCCTTAAACAAAGGAAAAGTACGTCCTTTATGAAGGCATAGAGCCTTTACTATATGAAAATGAAAATTAATGAATACACTGTGTTCAGTAATTTACCTGATAAGACAGACCTCAGAAAAATACTTTATGAGAGCTTTTATACTTTTATAAAGCTATCTATAATGAAAATTAATTAACAGGATTTTTTTGCCCTGCCAGGGTGTGGCCGAGTTCTCCGGAGTGCCGGGTTATCGAGAGCCGAGTTTTCGAGGTTCTACTGTACAATTAAGATTTCTGATGCTATCACCTAGCAAGTTGATAATAAAGTTGTTTTCTTGAAACTTGCATAAAATACAAAATTATAAAATCTCCATAAGAAAAATAGTCTTATGGGAACTAAGGTGTTTTTTGTATGTTTGTTGTACGTTTGATAACAAGGGATAAAGTTCTAACACATTCAGATCAAACCACTTGTTAAAATTTCCTCAGATGATGATCAGGAATTGAATCCAGATTCCTCTTGGTCTTCGGGTCATCTTTGAAACATAACTATAACATTACATTCTAATTATAAATGCTATATTTGAACATATATTATTGATACATATTTTACTAAATTAAAATTTTGTGTACAGAATAACTTATTAACTGATGCTCCACTTAATCATTTTATTGTTAATGTGACATTCTGACAATGTTTTTGACCAATTAATTGCAAAAAATCTTAGTAGTTGTCATTAAAATACTGTGTAATCATTTATTAGAAATTTTTAAAATTGTTATTAATAAATTTGGCTTTGACATCACATCGGAGATGAATTACCAATTTATTTATATTTTAACCTCAGTTAAACTATATAAAAATCTTGTTTTCTTTGATAGGATCTGATGAAAGCCAACTGCGACACCAGAAAACTTCAGGAAGAAAACAGAGCCTTGTTGAATGCACTGTCTGAACTAAGCACAAAATAAGGACATCTGCAGAAAAACCTCTCCAAAAAATGGCATCTCACAAAATATTCTCTGATCTATTGAATAATTTGGAAAGGGTTTCAATTAACGGTTTGTGAAAAGAATGAAAGGATTATTTAACTCTTTAAGTATATATATATATAGCTTACAAAAATTAATTTTATCAAACCATAAAAGAAAGCGTCTATCATTTTGGCTAATTGTCGCAAAGATTGCTTTATTGTATTTTTATATATTTGTGCCACAAATCTGCTAATAATCAATGGAATTATTTTTAATTACTCATTCCGATAATCTTTTTACGTGGCGGCGGTAGCTAAGACGTTATTTCGAGAGTTGCAAACCTCTCACCTGGCAACAAAAGAAGAGCTGCAGTTTACATTTTGTTCTCCTAAAGCTTGTCGTGTATCGTGTTAAATGCAGAATAGTTTTTTGTAAGATATGTGCAATTGTATGCATGCTTATGTATACATATATTATATATATGTATACATATAAATACATATATTTTTGTGTAACTATATAAATATATTTATGTTGTTCTTCATACAGAGTATAAGTATCGACGGCAGGTATTCAGGTAGCTACCGGACAAACTAAATGTTGGTATGAATGAGAATGTGCATTCAGATGTAAGAAAACTAAATATTGTGACACCACAGGCATACATTCCGAGCAAGCATTTATTGTTTACTTGGAAGAAGCATGGTTTGCAATTGCTTGCCATTGCTCGAATGCTTCTCCGCTCTCTAAAAATATCTTATGTTTATACATTTAATAATGGAAAAAGTAACATTCCAGTTTATTTTCAGTTTTGTTGAGTGAAAGAATTTTATTTAACCAATTTAAGAACCTTTTTCTGAGTGTAAATTGTATGTATATATATATATATATATATATATATACATATATATACAGTATAACTTTTACATGTTAATTGCTTTAAAGATGTATAAGCATTCACTCAGCTTGGGAAATTTTGTTTTAATCTATTTTGTTGATATTGTGATTTTTAAACGTATTTTTTGTTTTTATATTTCTACATTGCAGCATATTTTAATGTTAAAGCTATGATTTACATACTTAAAAAATTTATTATTATTACTGTTGTTTTGTCTGTAGACAATATCGGTGCCAGATTTTTCTTTGTGTATCCCGATACAGCTTTTAACCAGCCGGCGACAACATTAACCGAATGAGTGCCAATTTTTATAACTCCAGAAGCGAAATTCGGCTAGGATCTACCGAACTGGTATTGTTCTTGAATGTGCAATCCTCTCGATTTACTTTATAACTAGCATTTGTTCACAATGTTTTTTCTAGTCGTGACAGTTTAGTGTTGTTGTCGACCTGCCATGCTTAAAATTGGTTACGTAGACTACTACCATGTAAATTTCAACTATGGCAGAATGTGCCAATGCTTTAGCGAAATGGAAGTGCTTGCGAGTTCTGGGAGCGTTCTGCGGGATTGCAAGTGATAGTTCAATAAAACATTCATTTAAATAATGCTTAGATTTGCATAAAACACAATTTCTATTGGATGAATATCTACAGTAATAACCTTAATTAATGGTGTCAGTGAGAGAAACATCTTGCAAAGTGCAATATGTTACACTGCAGAACATCTCATCTTCAATAGGATTTGCTAAGGAGTGACTGTGGGATGCAGGACGTTTACCTTCTAGCGATTCCAATAGAACTTCCCACTTCCGAGATTCACCCGGCATACTCTGAACAAGCATTTATCCATAAAAAATTCTTATTTTAATAGATTAAAATTTATGAAATAACATTATTTTTTTATATTCTTATAAAACGAAACACCAAAAAAAAAAAAAACAAAACTTTGCAATGTAAATATAACCTTTTGTTCCTCAATATAATGTTTGTCTAACCAATAAAAACAATGACTACAGTATTCTCGTCTACAGCACAAAACAAAAACTCAATACTCCTTTGTTTCCAAATCTATGACCAGATTTACTGAATTCAATTTTGTAAATAGAGATCATATCCAGATTAATTCTCCATCTTTCCAAATTGCCGTCAAACGAGACACGTCACTCGACTAGTCATAGTTTGGAACTCTGCAGCAGATTTTATGTCGTACGTTTGCATGTCTCGCTTTGTGCTTTTCATATTTTATTATTTGTGCCAATTGCATTTTGTGATATGCACAGATTTCTCTCTTCTCGCCTATATCGATAACACAACATCTATGTGATACTTCGAGTGCATTACATTTTATCACATTACTTTCTTGGCTCAAACAAGATGGAAAAAAGAAGCAGTTGCTCACCGAAAGTCAGACACTTCAAAAGTATTGTGCCTTTGTTAAATGAGAATAGACCAATAATTTAAATGTTATATCTGTAAGCAATGGCATAATGTTCTGTAGCCATGTCATGATTCAAAAAGAAAAGAGAAATTCAGCACAAACTGTATAAATTGTACTTAAAGTTTATTTTTATAGTGTGTTAAGAAATGTTTGGGATTAAGTTCAAGATCACAGTCTTAATTTGGCTATCAATTGTCAATTGCTCCATGGCTAAACAGTATTAAAAAATATTTCTCGAAGTTCACGATAATTTGAAATGCGTATCTGTAGACTAGTAAATGGCACTAGACCATTATTTTGAATGCATGTTGACGTTTTTTCTAGATTTGTTGTATTTAAAGTTCGACTAAGTGTTTACTTGCAACAGTCTAAGTTACAAGAAAGTATATGTTATCACGATAAGAGTTTGAGTTAAGTTGTAAAGGGAATATCACATTTAACGATGTGATTCATTGTCGGACGACTTTCTCAAGCACTTAGTGATTACTCAGTCTCCCAATTAAGGCAGCTAAATCATCAGAATCAAGTGACAATAGGAAAACGATTTTAAACCTACAAGTACTATTATTAAATTAACACAAATGACTTTGGCAACTTAGATGTAAATTCAGTCAAAATCTATGGCATCTTCTAGCTCAACACTTGAAATATGTCCTTACTAAATCTAAATAATCTACAAAGTCCGTAGATAACAAAAATTATCATATGCAGGTTTTGTAGAGCATTTGAGGTTTGTTCCAAACTTTGTGATCTTGTTGTTCAAATCGGAAACATGCTAAAATTGCACTTTATTCCAGTGGATGTACCCTTTGCCAAAAACATTAGTGTGATTTGCTAATTCAATTTAGCATTTCTTTCCTCATCTTTAAGTATAGAACATTGCATTCTTCCATGAAAACATTTTGACATCAAGTCTGCTCTATAAAAACTGCATCAGAATACAAACTCTCATAGAAATTCAAGTAGGGAATTGTAGATTTTAACTTCTTCATTTTTAGCAGTGGTTTGTTGGAAGGAAAATGGATTTTAACTTGGATTGTTAGAAGTAAACACAGTTTCGGTCGCAAGTGAATATATTTTTCAGTTCTGTGGTTTAATTTCATTCTTAATAAAGAATACTCTTTTGCATATTTAAAACATTGTGTATGATCACTTTCAATAACTCTCAAGATAAATCACCAGTGAATATTTTGTGTATTCATTTATAATCATTCTAATTGATCGTTAGCGATAACAGGAGTAGTATATTGTGCTTCTGATTATAAGAAAAAAAATGAAACCAGCTGCATATGTCAAAAATTTCTCATAGATTATGTTTTTCCTTGTATTCAATAAAATTAGCTTTTTCAAGAATCTTTGGCATGTTTATTTTATGAGTAATTAACACTCTCGTCAACTCACAATGTCATTTAACAATCCTGCGTCGTAAAAGGGCCAAACCTGAAAAAGTCAGAATGTAAGCTACAAATTTTCATTTATGGAACTAACAATAGCTGCATTCGTCAGACTCAAAAGTGTGAGATTCTAATCAAGCAGAGGTGTAGTAAGTAGTACAGGTTGCATTAGTAGTAGCAAGACAATGAAGTGCTGTAATAGTAATATCATTAGTTTACTGTTGGGTCATTGCAAATGAAATGGCCATGTTTTCAAATTTAAACTTTCTGGCCTTCTAGTTCAACTTTATTCCATACGAACAGTACATTTGCAATTGGAGGAGCATGCATACAATAAGTGAATTTAAAAATGCAATCACATTTATATTGCAAGTTCCATGTGTTTAAGAGTACCTTTTCTGATGAGTTTAAGCAGGGACACACTGCAGCCGAAGCAACCTGAAATACCAATAAAACCTGTCAGCGAGCTGGCCACCAGGCATTGGATCAAAAAATTTCATTCCAGGAATACAAATATCAAAAATCAGAATCAAAGATCATCATTGAAACAGTACATCACCTGGAATCCTGGAAATTGCCGTAAGGTTGAATATACTGGACATTATTCAACCATTTCTTGATATCTAAACATGTTAGGCTGAGACTCCACTACCGTAAAAACGGCGCTGCTCAACTCGCTTTTACACTGGTTTTACGACCTGCTCAGGCATAAAATATCAGGGTCACGCGATTAAAAGCTTTTACAGTGAGTGATTTTATGCTGTTTTTACAGTAGTTGAGTCTTGGCCTTAGGGAAATTCAAGAAGCTCAACAAATGGGTATCATATGAACTCAGTGAGAGAGACAAGGAGCATTATTTGGAGGTTTGCAGTTCTTTATTTGTCACAAAATTCAAAGTATTCAAATTAAATTATTTCCTGTCCACTTTATTCTCCAGATTTGTTCCCAACAGACTCACTTTTTTTGGCAAGGAAAGTCTTTGAGGACACAATAAAAAGTACTTTTAATGACTTTTTGGCTTCTCATTCTTGTGATTTCCATCAAATTGGCATTAATGTATCTCTATTGCATTGGGAAAAGTGCATTAATGTTTGCAGAGACGATTTTGATTGAATATGTAAGTTTTAAATTAAATTAATGAATGTTCAAAGTCAGAAGTAAAAATTGGCCATTTCATTTGCCAACAACCTGATATCTACAACACTTCGAGCATACTACTACTACTACAGTAGAGCATCGTTTATCTGAATCAATTGGGGACTGGGGTTGTTCAGATAACTTATTTTTCGGATAATCGATTATGTATGAAAAAATAGTTTAACGTATCCGATGTTGAAATTTTTTGTCTGTTGTGTGTCGCTTCGCGTTGAATTTTCGTTGATGTTAAGCCTAACGTAAATTTTTTAAAATAATCATGGCTATTGTATCATTAAAAATTATTTATTTTTTACAAACGAAATAAATATACTGAAAAATATAAAAACCAAAAACTATATACTTTAGAATTGATCTAGTATCAAAAACGTTCGATTCAGCACGACACAGTCCTCAGAAAAACACCATACAAAAATGCCAGGGCTGCCAGCTAAAACACACACCAACAAAAAAAAATATTGTAGCAGCCCAAGATATAGCCAAAGATTGCGGCGCCACAGCACTAGCAAAAATTAAAATTTGCCAACTGAAATGCTTTCGGTTAACCGACGCTCTACTGTACTACTACCGACACATCCCATAGTACATGCTAGCTACATAATCTGTCAAATGGTGAAACAAGTGGTTGGAAGCACTGTAGTAGCTTTTGCTGCACATTAATTTGGTTATTGTTTTAAAGCAATACATTAGTGCTTACAAGTAGAAGTTGACTTTGGCACATTTTCAGTGCCAGTGTGTGTGTGTGATTAATATTAAAATGAACATCATTATTACAGTAGAGCGTCGATTTTCTGAAAGTCAATCATCCGAAAGAATTCCAGTCGGCAAATTTAAATTTTCGCCAGTGCTGTGGCGCTTCAATCTTTGGCTATGTCTTGGGCTACTCAAATATTTTACGTTTTTGATACTAAATTAACATCTGAAGTATAATTTTTTATTATTTTTATATTTTTCAATATATTTATTTTGTTTGTACAAAATAAAAAAATAATTTTTAACGATACAATAGCCTTTGTTAGGCTTAACATCGACGAAAATTCAATGTGAAGCGACACGCAACGGAGAAAAATTTCGAAATAGGATACGTTAAACTATTTTTTCGTACGTAAATCAGTTATCCGGACAACCCCAGTCCCCAATTGATTCGGAAAATCGATGCTCTATTGTATTTCAATAACTACAACAGATCAAAGGTAGATGCAATTGTCTTTAATCAGTTGTAGCCATACATACCAAAAAGTAATGACTACAAATTTACTAATAAATGTGATGTCAAAACACTCAATGGGTTTCAAAGTAAATAACATTCTGGTAGAAGGTATTCAACAGAAAAATAGCAACCACTTCTGAACCTTAGAGTCTGTCGAATGCAATCAAGCATTCATAGTTTACCAAAGCTTAGGTCACAATTTTTCATTATATCAAATGAATAAATTTCCAGTTACCTTGCAGACTGCTCTTCCTCTCAGTAATCCCATCGGTACAGGGCCATAAGTTCGAGAGTCTGTAGAGTTCTCTTTGTTGTCCCCTTCTAACCAGACATGACCAACCGGAATTGTCTATTAGAACAGATATTATTAGAGATGCATCGGTACGGTAAGATGCAACCGATGATAGTTACTTACAAACTCTGTAAATAGGCCCCGCTTGATTTTCTCACCGGGTAGACCAACCACTCGTTTGCAGATGTACTGATTGGGGTTTGAAGGTGAACGAGAAACTATAACATCTCCTCTAGAAAACAATAATTAAATTTATATAAAATACAAAAGTTTTAAAAGTATACAGTCAATTTTTATCTCGATTCAAATAATCCTGTAAATTACAAAATACATAATTAGCCTTCATTTATTAGCAGCAATAAATTTGACACTTATTTTAGAATGAAAATATCTCATTTATACTTAGAACTGGAATTACATTGCTAGTTGATATTACCAGTTACTATTGTCATTTCATGCAGATTAGTATTTGTAAACAAAGACAATATACTAATTTGTACATTGTACTCATTGATGGACAGTCATCGATTGACTCATTTTGTGAATACGTAAAACATGCAATCCTCAACTTGGTCAGAAGGGATATAGCAATGCAATGTGGATGGGATGCCTCTCAAGAGAATTTTATGGGAAACTGACCCCTATTGAAATGTTAGACACTCAAAGTAAACTCCAAGTGGCAGCTGACAGTCGGGTGCAAAACCCACGACAGTCAGTTTTATCCGCACAGGCACACTATCATTGAGCGATGCTGTTCATCATAAAGAAATGCAAAGGTCGGCAGCATCCGCAACAAGTATCAAGTAACGGAAATCGTGCAACCATTTTTAATAAACTTGCTATCCGTTGGCCAGTGCAGGTTGCAAGTTTCAATTTAATGACCATACATTTCGACGTCACCAGGTAACATCAAGCCACCGAACAATAATTCCACTTACGTTCACAATACACTTTACATGCATATTTCCTACATTATTATATGACAGTATGCACACTCAAAATACAGAAACGCCTTTGTAACCTCAAACCAGTCTGGTAAGTGGTCCTACCTCTTAATCTTCTGTCTGAAAATGGAGATGTGTTCGGTCACAATGACGTCGTTGGAGTAGATGGTCGGTTCCATGGAAGGGCCGGAACACTTCAAAGCAAGTTAACGAGATGAGATCAGAACATTGTTTACAAAATAATAACGAATCCATTTCACTTACTATGACGAAATCTCCGACGAACTCGAAGGTGCAATAGAGAGCGCAGGCATATTGAACGCCGTGCCAACAAGAGGTTAGGCCTTTTCTAACGAAGTTCCAAACTGGCATTTCTTACAAATTCTCATTTTTCTGTCCAAATGAATGTAAAACTGACTTATCGACCGCTCTACATCATCATAACCTAAAATTCGACACGCTACCTCTTGGAGGTTAGGATCCTCCTAGCGGACGAAATTGTCGTTAATACATATTTTTAAAATTCGTAGCCCGCGAAAGGTTACAAAGTTCCTAAAATGCGTGTTGCCAATCCGAAAGCCGAGATTACCTACACTTTAATTTTTTTTTTTCAATTACGCAATTTTACTGCCAGGGCGGTTGAGTGCGGCAAACGATTGCTGGATCCGGGATCGAATGCAAGCAGTACAATCCCGATAATTTTTCGGGAATGGACTGTTCCCGATACGTCGAGCTACGTTTTTAACTACTCGGCTGTCCCGTTGTTAACCTGTCTGAACTAGTGTTTCTCAAACGGGATCCCGGTTGTTTTTTAACCCGGGAAATCTCGCAAATTTCTTAAAAATGCACTTTTTTCTTATGTTAAGGTTAAGAAATTTTGCAAATAAAAAGCATAATTATCTCATTCACCGTCAGAATACATTTGTATTTATTAATTTTAAACCTACCTATTAGTTTTTTTTTAATTTTTGCTCGTTATGGCATGTATGGCGTGTCACAAATGGTCAATAATCAATACGTAACTTATTTGTGGCAGGACTCTGAAAATTCTTTACTTGTCAGAACCTGTAATATATGAATAATTGTGCTTGCGCTGTCCTAATTTTTAACCATGCCCAGTAGCTTCAATAAATGCGTAACGCCAGGTTGTGCAAATTGGGCAAAGATACAAACGAGTATAAAGTCTGCAAGTATGAAGTTTTTCTTCATAAACCTGATTATTAAAGCCAAATGAATTGCCGAATTATCGAGCTCTAAGCTTGATGCCGCTATTAAAGCAGCCAAGGTAGACAAATCAAGAATACTAGAGAGCGAAAGAAGTACTACAATCTCGAAAACGAACTCGAAATCTTCCAGGCTACAGGTGAAAAAACACATAATATCTGTTTTCTCTTAAATGCATTAAACACGATTCCAATCACATCAATTGAATCGGAAAGGGCATTCTCGGTAGCAAGACTTTTCATTACTAAAATAAGAATTAGAGTGAGTGATCGGAGTATTGATCATCCTTGCTTTTTAAAATCTTATAAAAGTTTACAATATTTTGTATTATATTTTATTTAAAAAACGAAAATTGCCTTCTAAGTTATAAGTTTGATCTAAGTTCAATTTTTAATTTTTAACTCAATTTAAAGCATTTTTGTTGTTGTGTGCAGTTTCTAGCAAACTTTAATAATTTTTTTTCTATTTGTGAAAATTTCTACGTAATTCAAAGGTAATTTTTATTATATACAGTATCTTACACAGCATTATTATGATTTTGGATGATACAGAACTTTAAAATTACTTTAAAAATGAAAAATAATTATATCATTTAATTTCAAGATATTTTGTATACCTTAAAAATAATTAATTCTATCCCGGGATCCCGGGAAACAGTTCACTTTTATCCAGGAATCCCGGGACAAGCAAAAGACCGGGAAATGAGAAACCCTAGTCTGAACCCATGATGGGCTAGAAAAAGGCCCTCTTAGCGCGGAGAATGAAAAAGCTTTCAACCTTTTCGTCCTATCGGCAATAAGAGAATTTTTTAAATCGCGACTGGTGTTCTTATCGCCCAATTCTCCGACCATCACTAGAAGAGACTTCGTAACAAATAATTATGACAAGATCGAAAAAAGCGACGCTTTGTTTTCACTAATTCGAAGTATGATCATGCAATGTACAGTATGTTAGTTGATTAGACTGACCCATCAGTGGTCGAGTGGATGATGACACTGAACACTGATATCTAGTCGCGGATTCGTGCCCGACCAAGGGGATGGTCGCGTGCAGGTTTTCTTGCGTCTAACTCTTAATAGGGCTAACTTTCCATAAAGTTCTCTCGGGAAGCGGATTTCTACGTGTTGCATTGCCTCGTTTCACCAATCCAAATGTCATCCTATTGATTCAATGATAATAGTGCCGTAACATATATACTGTAATTCGTTCGCTATATATAATTTAAAACTTACGCATACAAATTTGATAGCTTAATATAATACCGAATTGGTGAAGTATATGAGAAATAGGAATCACTTCATCGAATGAAAAATATATATGCACTATTTTAGCTATTTTATATTATTTTGTATCAACAAAAATAGAGCTAATTGAATCCCAAATTTTTACTAAATATTAAATATTCCTGTCTGAATGCTACATTCGTGACATGCCGGAATACAAATTATCTAATTAGAACTAAATTCTATATGCTTTTTATATGTTTTGATCAAATTTTAAAAATATTCGAACGCTTTGGAATACGAAATTTACAATTCATATTTGTAAAGCTCTGGGTTTGTCAGAGCTCTATTATAGAATACTCGATTGTATTCATAAAACGTTCCGTCTATAGAACCGCGATATAATACTTTCGAATATCATAACTTCTTTACAGTTGTAAATAACTTTTAATTAAAAAATGTATTTATATAATATTATGAAGTCGAGTATACTGTTTCGAATTCATTCGCATTCGATATTATTCCAAATTCTATTACCCCAAGAAGAATTCCGAACGCTATAAAACAGGAATTGCTAATTCGTGTTCCGTTGAGAAATACCGAACCGATTACAAGATACTTTATTGCGTTCAGAAATTTGTTACTGTCATTTTGTTTACCCGTACACGGTATTACGAAGTCAAATACATCGCTTTTAATTCACTCGCATTCGAAATTTTACAAAATTTTATAACTCGGAACGGAATTATGAACGCTCAACACTCCGGAACACAAAATTGATAGTTCGTAAGCGTTCCGCTAAGGGGCGCCGAACAACTTGGTCTGTTGCAGCTGTTCAGCTGCTTCATGTCATTAAGGAGATTCGTTCTCCCGATCGATGTAAAAAAATGGCTCTACGTATTTTATAATTATCCTAATTTTGTTTTAGCATTTTGTTTAATGTAAAGACAAACTTGTTAATTCGTATGGCATGCGAAATGTTGGGATTATTATTGATGTTTGATTCAATCTCTCCTTCTGTAGGTTGGTTTTTTATTAATTGCTTTTTCTCTCTTTATATCTTTCTTTGGTTAACTCATTTATTTATATTTAAATTATTCTTAGTTTCTGCCTTAAGTTTGTTATGATTTTTTTTTTAATGCTGTTGTAATATATAAAAATATATAGAATAATTCTTGTTAGAAAAAGTTTTACAGATCAGGTGAGTTTGTGTTTTGCCTTATAAATGTATTTTGAACTGTAGAACTGTCTAGAAGTGTTGTCGAAATTTATTTGGCGTTGCGCACCACCATCAGGGTAATCTGCAGTAAAAAACCCATGAATTTACACCCTTTGAGTAGTTTCTTTGTGAAATATTAACCATGCTGTGCTGTCAAAGGGTCCAGTTGCCACTTTGAAAGTTTAGCTTGTTCTTTGTGGCCCAGCCAAATCTGTTGTGGGTTGGGGGTTGGCTGGGGCTAACCGTATCCCTTGGCATCGTGTGAGGGCTACCGTCTGTTGCACCAGGCAATTCTTGTGACGGAAGGTGGCCAAAGGCATGTCATTCCTTGATTTTAATTTTATATAGCCTAAAACAAATCTGACATTTAAAAAAATTCTTCTGTAATACTATTATATAGTTGAATTTCGATATAATGCCACCATTCGTTTGCTGTTGTAATTGGAGTAAAATTAAATGTGGCACTGAAGTGAAGGACATTAAATGGTAAGAATTATATAAAACGATGAGTCTATAAGGAAGTTTGAGAGTTTGAAAGTCGCACCATTCGACAATAACAATGTCCTTTGCAACGCAGAAATTTAATATTGAAGAGGAAGTTCTAGATGTGAGTTTTCATTGGCGCACTAAGATAGCATTGCTATATCAAAGTTTGTATGTACTTTGCATTTTCCCACTTCTAAAATTTGGATAATCTAGGTATGTGTTTAAAGTACCTAATAGATAAACTGTCTCCATGATGAGACCATTTACAACAGACAGAAAGCTGGCTTTATAACTCTTAGCATATCAAAACCTACATTAAGAAATCAATAAATCAGTCAATCAACTTGTTCAGTCATCCAAAGTGTCAGGATGTGACCTGGACGTAATGTAGTAGATTTAGTTGGTCAATGTCAACATATTACTGAAATTTGGCACTTAATTACATAAAAGAAAAATTTTCAAGGTCATATTTTTAAAAAGTCAAATTTGGCATGAATTCTAAATTGGAGTATTTTAAAAAAATTTTGATAATTCATAAATTATATTTTCTTATGCTAGAAGAATTTCTGATAAATTAGGATCAAATATGAGTATATAATAAATATCAAAAATGCTTAGAATATTGGATAGAATGACTCTTAGTCTCAGAATCTGTACAATAATTTCATAGACTTAACTGATGCTTAATTATTGTAACTACCAATTGCTGCATAGTAATTTTAAATAAATATAGAAAACTTGGAATATATTTTAATTATGGCTATAAATTTTATTAGATATTTTTTATATAAAGTTAATGTTCGGAACAAGAAATGCTATTACACACTTTTAATTTTTAAAAATGTTAAATTAAAAGTTTAATTAAAATTTTAAAAATTTTGCTGTCATTTTTGAAGAAATTCAGGTATTTTTTAAGTGCAATATTTACTAAATTAATGTATAAGCATGTTCTTGGTAGATTCCTATTCCAGACTTAATGTCAGGGTAGTTACCTTTATTAAGAGGCTGTCTGCCCCTAAGCATGATCTTTGGGTATGTTTCGATATGCATTAGTCTTGGCTACACTGATGTACTGAAGAATGGTTTAGTAAACTTTTGCTAACATAACATGACAGTAGAAACAAGTGGCATTATATTGGCATTCATAGACTTATTTTATCAAAATAACTTTGGGTTAATACAAATGCATAGTAAAAATGGTATTAATAATATGATGTTAATATTCTAGACTGCAGTGACCGTATTTCATGCTTTGCTCGATCACTTGACATCATTTCTTTGAAGTTTTTTTGTTGTGGGCATTTCAAGGATTATGTATATGCAACAAAAGTGACAGATATCAGAGCTCCAAGTACACAAATCACAGATGCTATTAACTGCATGTGTCTGCTGCCCACATGGTGGTAATGTACAGCAGTGGAGGTCCAGATTGTCATCGTGCAGCAGCATCGGTCCTTTTGAGCATATTAGTATGAAACTCAGAGTATTGAACAACATTCTTCAACATATTTTATTCACGTATCTGAACAAATGGGTTTTAAAGAACAGTTTAAAACTAGGGATGTTCAAGGCAAATGTCCTACAATGATAACTTATGTTCTCATCCTGTTCTTAGTTGATTCCTATTTTATGTTTGCTGTTGTAATTGTGAATTCTGTATGTAGTTATATAACTACATATAGTCCAAGTAATATCTTTATTAAGCTGTGATACAGTAGAACCTCGAAAACTCGGCTCTCGATAACCCGGCACTCCGGATAACTCGGGCACACCCTGGCAGGGCAAAAAAATCCTTAGTTAATTAATTTTCACTATAGACAGCTCTATAAAAGTATAAATGCTCTCATAAAGTATTTTTCTGAGGTCTGTCTTATCAGGTAAATTACTGTACACAGTGTATTCATTAATTTTCATTTTCATGTAGTGGCTCTATGCCTTCATAAAGGACGTACTTTTCCTTTGTTTAAGGGTATTTGGGCAGTTTATTCTCTGTTGTATTCTCAAGTAAACAGTACATACAAGTACAGTACAGTATTTTCTGAGGAAACACTCGTACTTATTTTTTTTAACCCCATTCCCGATAACCCGGCATTTTCACAAACTCGGCCACCCTTCGGTCCACATTAGGCCGAGTTTTCGAGGTTCTACTGTACTTTAGAATTTGACTTATTATTGGAGAAGTGGCATAAAAATTTAGTCTGTTAAACTGTTTCAAATTACATTCACATGCATTGCATAAATATTGATTTCAATTGCCAAAAATGTTTATATTTTGTTAGCAAATTGTTTTCAGAAAAGTGATTTTAGTTAACAATCAGTTTTATAAAATCAAATAGGAGAACTGTTTTAATATATTATCATATTTTGAAAAAAATACAAAGTATTTTCCGGAGATTGATTCACATTTTGTTTTTTTAAGCTTAAATGTAGAAAATTTTAAAAATAGTTTGCATATTTTTTCAGGGAAGATTGTGCAAGAAGTCATTGATCCTTCTGAAGAATGTACATTGGATCAATAGAAAGCCGATAATAAATTTTGATAAATCACTTCTAGACTCAAGATGTGCTTTTATTATACGTTAAGAAATTTTAAACTTTCTAAAAACTCAATATTTGATAAATTGAATATAAGAATTTAAAATTTTATTTATCATCATTTGATCATTAGATATGTAATTAATAAACAATATTATTTATTTAAAAAATAATATTGTTTATTAAATATTGGACATTAAAAAATATGTTTTTAAATTTATTAATTTTGACATTTGTGAATATGAAAATAAAAATTCTGAGAATTTCTCATTAAAAATGCTTGAAAATGAATGCTTTAATTCATTTTACATGAGCTGCTGATACTTTCTAATGCAAATTTGGTCGGTGCGGTGCATTGTCAAAATTTATGTCCACAAGCATTTAATTGTGACGTGTACGGCACCTTGTCTGCAGTCTCAATTGATTAGTCAGTGCAAAGTTTCTCTAAATGTAAATGGTGTTATTTTTAGTTGAAGTTTAAACTGGACAAATTAGATGATTGATTGTAGTAATGGATTAGTTTCTAATTTAAATTTATAATAGCTGGAAGTTATTTTTTTATTATTAATTGATAATTCATTTAAAATAAAATTTACTGCCGGGACAATCATTTTGAAAAAATTTACAAAATTTCATTTGGACGAACTCTGAGTGTCCTTCCTTTTGTCCTTTCGTACACCAATGTATAAATTCTAAATTTTTTAAATGTATAAATTTTATAAGTGTTTTTTGCTGCCACCAGAGGATGATTTGTAACATATTGTATACTGAGGTAAAGGTGAAGTAGCCTCCAGATAAAGGTTGATTCCATTGCAATATTTGTTATTTCTTGTTGTTGTATAAAGGGACAAAAGGAAGGAGGACACTCGTAGAGTTTGTTCAAAAGAAAATTTCTAAATTTTTTCAATTGACAATTCACTTTAGAAGACAGTCAACAAATGGAGAAACTTATGTAACATTGCAGTCAATTGGTTGTTTAATGTATATCATGTAACCCCAATTATTTGTCTACGTATTATATTGGTTGAATTGGTATTAACAACTTTAATGAGCAAAAATAATCTTACATGAGAAAACATACAAGATCATGGTTCTTATTATTTTGATTTTAATACAATCTCAATTGCATTAAAATCAGGCTGATGAGAATCATGCTCTTATGTTTCTATCATATATGATTATTTTCAATTGTTACGATAAAAATGTTGGTTGTTGTTTTTATGCTAATAAAGAACAAAGAAAACTGCAAAAAGCCAATTTTACTGACTTAAGAATGATTAAAAATATTATCTGTTGAATTCTAATGATTAAATTTAATACAGGATTGCAAATACTTCATGAAAAAGGACAATGAAACAAGTAAATAACCACAGTTTATTCAGTTTGATAGCTTTATTTCTCAGTAAAACAAGCCTGAAATGATCTTAGGAGTATATTGAAAACATTTGTTTTACAGAGAAATAAAGCTTCTGGACTATATAAAGGTACAGTGGTCATTTACTGGTTACTTAATAGCCTAACTTTAAATTACATAATAACTGTGTTTAATTAGCCAAGTTATAGTCTGATAATGAGTCTATCTTTATTATTCTTTGGGATGATAAAGATGGCAGATTTGGAACAACATTAATATTTTGCACTTGTACTTGTTGTTTGAGTAAAATCAACACTAAGTGATTGATCATTCCTTTAGTATTGAATTTTCCTTTGAGGATTGATCAAATTAAACTGCCAAGATTGAATCTCTTGTAAATGGATGCTTTAAACATTAAAAGATGGATCT